CGTTAACTTCAAAGACTCAAGAGAAAGCTATATTAGGAAGGCCTGTACATTAGCGTTTCACATAGGACCCAGATTTTCACGGTGTTTAAAAAGGCACAGTGTATCAGTTTGGGGGAGACCTCCACCAAAGAAAACCATCACCCACATCCAAAAAGCTAGCATCAGAAAACATCTGCAAAAATATACAAGTTTATCAAATTCCATACAAACAGATCTCCTGGTATGTTACTAAAATAGAAGCATCTTGAAAGCTTCTAAGGAAGATTAGTTTTGTGGATACATTGTGTGGAAGGAGCGGATGGGGAATGCTGTGAAGGTTAAAGTGGAGGCGACAGGAAATTAAGCTTTGTCAGGGTCTGTTTAATGACAATGTGTGAATCTGTTGCCTAAAATTGTGCATAGTTTTAAGGTTTTTCAATTGATTTATCTTTGTATTAATGCATGCCTGTGCTTTGGAAATCTAATCGATGTCTACCTATGTTCTTCTTTCTCATGTGACTTAATTTTACACAATATACCAATTCACCCTCAAGGAATTGCTACATTATGTAAAGTTGGGGGGAGGGCGTGGTGTTTTCTGAGAATACGCGATGCTCTCTTCTTGTTTTTCTATGAGCCAAAGATAACCTGAGTAGATTTTGTATAAGACCATATACACTTCCCTTTGGCCCTGGACGAGAAATAAGCACCTTTTCCTGTTTTCCGTGCTGGCACTAGTGATACTTTCACTCTCCTTAATGCTCTGTCCCGAAACCTCTGAGCCTCCTGCTCTCTCCCCTTTGGAAGCCCTTGCGACCTCCAATGTGCAGTGAGCTAGCACCTTGACGCAGTCCTTCCAACACCATCACCTTCGGGGAGCTCTGCTGTACCCACGCCCAGCTGGCCCTCTCCTTTATATTTCCATAATGCTTTAATCACTGAACTTGCCACATCTTGTTAAAATTATTGCCAAGAATAGTCTCTTAGGGCAGCGGTTCTCAAATTTTGCCATATATTGGAATCATAAATATTTAATTAAAAACCAACTAAATCAGAATCTCTGGGGAAGGGAGACCCAGGCAAGATATTTTTTAAAGCAACACTTCTCAAATTTTAATGTGCATACAGTCCACCTGGGGACTGTGTTGAGATGCAGCTTCTCAGGTGGGGCCCAGGGTTCTGCATGTCTTATAAGGTCCCAGGTGACACGGAGGGTGCTTATGCTAAATCGGCCAAAGGTTACCCTGAAATCTTCCTGTATTTTGGAAAATAACTATTCTTATTTGTATCTGTATATCTTAAGCTCACAGACTGTTACCCAATACAGGACCACTTCTTGCTACGCTGTTACCCTACCTGCCCCCTTCATATTAGGTGAGTCAAGGCGTTGAAATGTTCTCCTACATCAGAGTTTGGGGTGGTCAGTATTTCAGCTATTCACAGTAGGTGCGCTGCTCCCTATCTCCAAAGAGCCCATGTTTCTGTGTTGATCCGACCGGACAAGGGCGCAGGGCAAAGCTGACGAATATTAGGACAGGAAGCACAAGCAACGGCTCATGGCCGTTGCTTGTGCTTCGAGTTTTAAGTATGACCTTGTCCACTCAGTTTGTTGTCGCCCAGCCTCCAGACTCTGTCCTCTACTGCTTCTTGGATGCTCACACGACTCAGCCTTTCTTCTCTTTGGACACTCGGCAGCCCTTTGCTCCCCCACCGACTCTCACACTTTGCTCACTCCACCATCGTCACTGCCGTGGCTACTGACTGAGCCCAGAATAATTGGAACCAAAGGACACAAATACAAATACAAACAGATGCTTATAATGTGAAAGCTTTTTTCTTCTACTTTGTTTTTTTGCTTAACTGCATTACTTTTCCTCAGTTAACACTTCTATCTGTTACATGTACAGATGAGTCTTTTCAGTGTCAAGCCTCAAGAGGAGGCTCTAAGTAACTATTACTTAGTAGGGCTAAGGTTCAATTAGCCGTTGTAACCTTTGCACAGCAATCTGACTATAGTCTAATGAGATGAGATGCTGGGCACTGGGGGGCAGCAAGGAACCTGCTGTGGCACCAGGAAATAGTTTCAAGTTTCCAGGGAAATCATGCAACACTTGAGCCTAACTACACCTTAGGGTAGTTCACAGTTTCAGCAGTAGGTGGTGCTACATTCGATGACGTTATGTATTGATGAAGCTGGGATCCCCCCAGCCGTTGTGGCAGAAGGCAGGTCAGGGCAAAAATCAACGTGGGAAAGGAAATGGGGGCGCTGTTCAGTTCGAGAGGTTCTGCGGTGCTCAGTGGGCACACACCTTCCGTTAGTAAGTAACTGTGGTTATTTAAGAATGAAGTATTTTCTCCTCTTAACTGATATATATTTTTGTCAACAGTAGTTAATTTTTTTAGGACATAAATACTTATTAAATTGTTTGGACCTCACTGTTTCTTTTGACCTAAGGACGCTGTGAAAAAAATTGTTGAGACATTAAGAGCATGGTGAATGGAGATAGTTTCGGAACCTCTGCTGTAGCCTGGTCTTGAAAAACATTTTGCTTCCAAAAGTTTCCTGACACTCCAGATCTGGGTGATCTCATCAGGCATCTATCTGTTTTATTCCAAATCTATTAAAAGTGGACCATTTGCCACTGGAGGAACCCAAACCTTTTTTTCCCTTTTAAAAATTGTACTTATTTTTTGTCCGTTTTTATTTGTGGTACAAAACATATTCTAGTCTAATCCTTTTGTCTACTGGTAAAACATAATTCTAGGGGCAGATTGGGGAAATGCCCTATCAATAGTGAAAGAATACCGGTTACACACCCCTGATGTCGCACAGCTGGTGACTCTGACGACTTCAGTGGTTGTTCCTGACTCTTTTTCCGGCGACACTCTGTCTGGTGTGTAACTTCAGGGAGGTGGGGGCAGGCAGATGAACGGTAGGTGGGGAAATTTATCTCGCTGCCAATAAAATATCCAATCCCAACTGATCGGATTGAAGCTGTGCTCGTGAAGGGGTTTTTGCCTTTCTCCCCTACATTTTCCGCCCACTGAAAGTTCTCTCATCTAACTTTTGCAATGATATAAAAATCAGCATCCCACTGCAATGCATTACTCATAAACATAACAGTGTATACAGTGGATTTTTCACTGAGAACAGCAACTTCTTTACGCACCTACTATGTGCCAGCCACTAGCTCTCATCTCAGTTAAACTACATGGCAACTCTGTGATGCAGGCACAGCTGCGTGCGTTTTCTAGATGGAAAAACCTGCAGCCTGGAAAAGTTAATAACCGGCCCTGGGGCACACCACTAGTGCTAGGCAGCACCGAGATGCAGCCTCAGATCTGCCTGGGTCCACAGCTCACAAGCTTTCCCCTCGGCAATGTTCCCTCTCACGATTACAATCGCAAAAACGATTCCCAGGAGGTTTTATTCACTGCTGCTTCACTGTCCTGAAATAGCCTGCCTTTTTTTTTTTAAATGCGTGGTATTTTTGATGTACAATGACATCATCATTGGGGAAGCAAGAGCAGAAGAGAAAAAGAGGGGGTCTATTATTTAGACAAAGCACTTGAAAAAACTTCTGTGACAGTAGTAGTATTTGTATTCTAGAAAGTGCTTTAAAGATTATAAGATTACTATCATTTTTTTACAACCATTACCCTGTGAATGGGGTGCTATGCACATTTCACGAGGGACGCGGAGAGAAGCACACACGTGTGGACTTTCCTCCGCAGCCGCAGCAAACACAGGCGAGGCCCTGGGCGTTTGTCGATGCTCACCCCTCCACCGAACACTTTCTCTCCGGCTTCACTCCGTATCAATAATTCACTCCATGGGAACAATGCCTGATTGCCTCGGCCCAAGCCACGGAGGGCTTTCCTTCAGTTATAGCGGTAAATACTTAATGAGACTATTTGCACACGGTTATTCAGGGATATTGGATAACAGATTGAAGTGTGGCCGTGCAGCCCTCGGAATCTGAAAAATGTGTGCAATTTGCATCCCCTACCATTGAGGTTTAAAAATCAGAGCTGTGATCATAAACAAAGGCGCCTATCGTCTCTGTTGTGTTCATCCCCAGTTTGTTTATGTAGAGGATGTGGGACAATCATTTTGTTTATCAGCACCATATTATGAAACACAGAACCTGCAAAGCGCAAACCTGCATCCCTGGTTTGTTTTTACAGCTTTACGGTATGCAGATATTCTGCAACAAGACTGTAGCTGATGATAAAATGCCAGCGAAGCTCCCGATGACAGTATAACTGAGCTGTTTCCCTGACTCAGCTCCAGTAATCGCTGAGGGCAATCATAAGCGAGGCTTCCTCATACTACTGTCTGGAGTCAATAAAATGGTCAGATGATATTTGGAAATAGCACCTCTCCATAACCATTTGTCTCTTTTGTGAACCTTGCCACAGTTAAATCACAAGCTTTTGAAAGGCCTGGCTCTTGCCAATTATGTGAGATAAGACAACGCAGCAGCAGCTGTACGACAACCAGTCTAAGGCAGTGGTGGGTTTTGAGGACAAAGGGCCCCATTCGCTGCAGAACGGCTGGTGCCGCCAGCATCAGAGTTAAGGAAGAGTTAATTTGAACCTGGCCAAAGAACTAAAGCTCAGAGTGTTTGCTTTCAGAACGAGAAAAAGGAACCTTCTTTTTCTTAGAGCTTAATCGCTCTACTCCTGTTTTTAATACATCTTACTTCATAGAATAAGCTGGACCCGATTTTTCAAGCTAAAGTAAAAATTAAAGGATTTATGATAATCCTGTGTGGATGGTTGTGGGCGTCTCCCTTTCAGCTGGAGCATTTCTCTTTCTTTGTTGCTGGGCTAATATTTTCTCAGCTTCTTGAGACAGTCTTCTGACTGAAACTACTCAAGTGGGGGGAAAAGTCTTACCAGTAAGCAATAATTCCTACTGTATTGGGGAACAATTTATATCCTTTCTGTCTATTTATTAGAAGTAACTTCCTCAGGCTTTTAGAACCAGAACGTCAACGCGCCCAGTGGAATCCTACCTTGCCCACATACTGATAACCGGGTCCCGTGTATTCCTCCAGGAGAAAGAACTGATTCCACATCCAGCTCCTTTTCGAACGGTTCAGCTCATTTTTGCTGTTTCCAGAGAGTTCCAGGGCCCTTTTCTTTGCCGGGAAACCACTAGTCCTCTTAGATAACGGAGTTGAGAAAGTTGGGTCGGGCTGAGCAACCCAAAAGAGTAGCAAGAAGTATCGGTAAGTTCTCATTCTGATGACACGGTCCGGGCTCTGGGCAGTGGGGACTTCTCTCCTTGAAGCGTCTTCTCTTCACTGCACCGTATTCAGCCGCATTCCTCCTTTCTTCCTTAATGCTCTTTGCTTGGCTCTCAGAGGATATCTGGAAAGAATAATAACATATCAAGCATTTTTAGAGATGCTTAAAATTCAGTGTTAGAGCAAATAAGCTCTGGCAAAAGAGGACAGAAATTTGAATAGCAAAACAACAAAAATAAGTTGGCTATCAATTTTAAAATGGGGAAAACAATCTTTTTAGATATGCTAAATGGAAGGCATGGGCTGAATAGGAAGCTGCTGCTTCCCTTCCTTCTTTTCTAGCACTTAACAATCCCATTTTCAGTAATAGCATTGTTGTAGGTCAACACTCTTTTACCTCTGGGTATGTGGGCTGAGATCTGGTGAGAAGAAATGAGTGTGTGTTTCTGATTCTATCTGCATATTTATCCTCATGAACAAGTCTAAGGCAAAGCTTTTCAAAGACAGTTTCAATTCGGTTGAGAGTGGATACTATTGAAATTTCTCTAGAATGTATTGAGCGCCTGTGATGTGCCCACATAAGTCAAGGCAGAGCCTGTTCTGCCGGCTCTCGGCTTTGGAGATGAGCTGATAGAACAGCCTGGGTCAAATGAGGTTGGAAAGACCACACATCTTCTCTTCAGAATGCGTGTCAGCGTACTGAAGTCTCTAAGGTGGAGTTCCGTCATGGTGATGACAAGCCTGTATTGAATACGGTGTTTCCCGATCTTAACCAGGAAACTTGTTTTCCTCATATGACCCAATGAACACCACAGGATAGGCTAACAAGCTAAGTAAAGCATTTGAATTTAATAAAATATGAGAATCGAATGAGCTTTTTTCCCCCAAAACCTTTAGGAAACCCTCGGCTCTTATGTCTGAATTTTACTTGCATCATAAGGAACCAAGCATATACATTAACATTAGTCAAACAATTTCTATGTAATTTTCATAGGCATATCAAACATATCTTAATATCGCCCTGGCTGGTGTAGCTCAGTGGATTGAGTGCGGGCTGTGAACCAAAGCATCACAGGTTCGATTCCCAGTCAGGGTAATGCCTAGGTTGCAGGCCACAGCCCCCAGCAACCGCACATTGATGTTTCTCTCTCTCTCTTTCTCCCTCCTTTCTGTCTCTAAAAATAAATAAATGAAATCTTAAAACAAAAAAAAATTAAAAAACATATCTTAATATCACAATGCAGGATTTCAGAAAGTCAGCTGTTATACTCGTGGGTGGTCATTTTCCAGGACATATACTACTTTTTAAGAATACAACCTAGTATTTGAAAAAATCCTTGGGCCACAGTGTTTGGCAAAAGTATCACAAATTGGTTTACCATTTTACATAATTAAAATAATACCTGCCTATATATTCATCCTAAACTTTTCCACAGGTCTTGAAAAGAATCCAACAAGTTATTCTTTACCTCACTATTTGATCTAGGAATAATATTTCCTTAAATGATACTAACAAAAAGTTCAGTGCTTTGTAATATGGAACATAATAGTAATGAAACTGGTATATTCATCCTAAATTAATGCAGACAAATAAACATGTTTTAGGTAATCTGATCAGTCATTTCTTTCTCCGTCAGAAAGGATTTGTTTACTTGTCTCCTCTTATTGCACCAGGTAAATGTATAGGTGACCCGTTTTTTTCCCTCAGCAAAGCGTAATTACAGCCCTCCAACACATGGCTTAGTGAAACTTTCTGTTGGAATGTAAGTGAAATATTTCACAGTGTTCAGCATTTTAAACACTCCATTATTATGCATCTTCTTGACGGTTGGCTGGGAAGCTGAAGATTCCACAGGTGAGTAAATTAGTACTGTGACAATTAGTCCTGCTGGAAAAATGCCTGGGACCAGTATACTTGTCATTAGGTGGCCTTGGTACAGGTGTGGAATGACTGATGCTCAATTAGGTAACGACGCATCTTCTCTCTTCTCATGGCTGTGCATAAAGGGGACTGAGAGAGCATATGGAGAAAAGCCCTCCAAAGACACCCATTCATTTTTAGTAGTAGAGATTACACTGAGGTTGAGTCGGTGGAAATGACATTTTTCTTAATTTCCCTCATCCTCCATTATTCGCACGGACAAACCCCGCAGTGAAGAGCCGCTGGTCTGCTGCGGCACTCCGAGCACCGCCCCCCCCCCCTCCTGCCCCCAACCCCGCAGTGCGGGCTGGGAAGAGGGAGGCAGCCCAGAGGTGTCAGCCGTTTCAAAGGCAAACTCCTAAAGGCCATTTTAAAGAAAGATCTATCCCCGTGGGTGTTGTGTGCAAACTCTACAAGCTGTTGCCACTTGAATATTAAATATTAGTTCTTTTTAAAATCACACATACCAAAATGTCAAGTATTTCATAATATTTTTTGCTTAGCTGGTGATGAGCTTTTAAAGTGGTACAGATTTAAGCAGTGTTTCTAAGTCTAAGGATGTTAGAACCGACATTTTTCCACACTTACCTCTTTTTGTATCAACTTGGCAGGGTGGGCCCATGTTAAAAAAACTCCATATTCAAAATTACCAAAATTAGCACGGTCCACTCATATTTGGTGTTAGCTTTTTAGAGGGACATATTTCCCTGTGAAATTCTATAGTTAAAAAATACCCAACAAACTGAACTGTTGAATATGTAATTTTGCGATTCTCATTTAATTCTTAACAGGCAGGATTGCACAGTGGTTAAGATTACTGGTGCTGGGGCCAGGCTGCCTGGGTTTAAGTCCTCGCTCTGCCCATTAGTTTCCGTGAACTTGGGAAAATTGCTTAATCTCACAGCACCTTACTTTCTTCTGTAAGTGGGGATAATTAAATATAATAACTCCCTCATAGGGTTTTATAAGGATTACATAAGTCATTGTAGGCAAAGCACTTAGTAGGGTATTCATAAGTGTTAGCTATTATTATTACTATTGCTATCGTTACTATTATTTGCATTGCACATGTAGAATCCATCTGTGTCATAATGCAAAAAGCTGGAAAAGACAGCATAGTTCCCTCACAGGCTTAAATAGTTGTTGTTTTTCTCAAAAAGTGTTTCCGAGCAAGTCAAATTCTTTTGCAACAGCATGGATGGACCTGGAGAACATTATGCTAAGTGAAGTAAGCCAGTCAGAGAAAGACAAATACCCTATGATTTCACTCATATGTGGAATCTAATGAACAAACTGAACTAACAAGCAAAATGGAGACAGATTCATAGATGGAGAGCAGGCTCTGGGGGTGGGTAGAGAACAGAGGGATCGAGCAAAAAAGAAAAAGGACACATGGACACTGACAACAGTGTGGTGACTGCTGGGGGCACAGGGGGTGGGTGGAGATGGAGGCAGGTAATAAGGGGGATAAATGGTAATGGAAAAAAACAAATTAAAAAAACCCTAAGGAATGGAAGCACTTCAAGAAGTAGAATTAGTCCATTTGCTAATGTGTTCCCTGAGTGGACTGCCGTTGAGGATTTCACAGGAATACTGCAGAAACAGAGAAGGCAGGAGCTATGCCCACTGCCTGTGTGAAGAAGAATACGGGCAAAATGGAAAGTTCACTGGGGGGCGGGCTCATTTATAGCCTTTATGTGGGTTTCTCCTCCTTTCTGTTTTGCTATGTTAAGGTTTTAAAACCATCTTTATTTAAAACTGGCTTCCACTGTGTAATTTTGTCCTTGTAAAATGGTACTGGACACACATGTTGCAATTAACAGCCTGACATTATTCTAATGTTATATTGGGTAAGAATTTGATATCATTAAAATAAATAATATACATATTGTAGGTTTTACTTCATCTGGAAACATGGAATAAAAAACAAAAAAAGCACACCGTGAACATGATCTCAGATGAAAAGAAAACCAGGATGCTTCAGGTGCTGAATGGCCATAAGTCCAAAGTAAAGAAGACAACTTTGAGAAATATAGGGGAGCCATTGGCTTTTGAGCAGTCACAATACAGTAGAACATTGTGGCAAGTAGCAGTCAAATGGGCTAGCTCATTTTAAAGATGTCAAGAAGTAAACCAAAGGACAAGGATGCAAGGGAGTGTATAGACACCTAATTCTAAAATAGCAGGCATGGTCATTCAGTCAGGAAAGAACCAAACGTTTAAGTAGTGGAAGGAGAAAGAATGCAAAACAAAGTCGATATTGTACCTTTTTGCCCCCATCCCCTTATGGCATTAAAGAGCAAATCAGTTAGAAATAGCAAAAACACTATGAAAATAAATAAAACTCAAACTGCCTAAAGACATCCTAATGACAGTTTAGCATCAGGCTAAAAGATTACTTACCAGACCGTACCCCTACTTTGTATCTTCTTTTTGCTGGAAGCTGGGTTTTTTTAATTACTTTCAATTTCTTACAGGCTATTGTTTGTATTTTCTAAGATTTGATATGCAAAGGTGGTTAATCCAGAAAAATAGTTTAAATCTTTGCAGAAGCCTTGTTTTAGTGATGTGTAGAAAGTACTAGGATTCTTATGGGTAGCAGGCAAGGCCCCCATAGCATTGATAATTGCACACTTTGAGAAGTTACTTGCCTGTCTAGAGACAGCATGAGGGTTGGTCCCATACATGAATGGGTCAACAACAGTCAAGACTCAATTACAATAGGAGGGTCCACAAAACCCAAAAAAAGGATATTCCTAGAGCACCTGTTCAGGAGGTGGAAGAGACTGGGCCACTGGGTTTCACAGGACACTTACTACTTCCTACGAAGACTGGGAGTCATAGATGGATCTAATATATAGAAATAAGCACAAAGAGACAGCTAAAATGAGGAGACATAGAAACAAGCCCCAAATGAAAAAATAGAAGGGAACTCCAAAGAAAGAGTTAAATGAAATAGAGGCACGCAATTTATCAGACATAGGGTTGAAAATAATGGTTATAAGGATGCTCAAGAAACTTAGTAAGAACTATTGTACAATAGCATGAAAAGAACATAGAAATGAAAAAGGATCAGTTAGAAATAAAAAATAGCATATCTGACATTAAGAATACACTGAAAGGAATAAAATGCAGCTGGATGCAGCAGAGGATCATATCAACAATTTGGAAGACAAGGTAGGAAAAAAACACCAAATCAGAGG